TCTCCTTGCGATATCCACATCTTCCTGTCATACGCCCCCCCGTTCCTCCTCCCAAAAAAAGATAAAATAATAATAATAAAATTATAAAAATAAAAAACCTGCACGATTCCGCACAGGCACCCCCCGCACGGAACTCCGCACGAATGTGCAGCTCGTGCGGTTGCAAGTATGATACTATCCTATTCCCATAATTCCACCCTTTATGGGAATAGTCCTCCTCTTATTTCACTTTTCTTTACTTGTTGCCTTGATCCATTGTTTTATCTTCTCTTATTCCACTCTGTATGGTAATGCAGCTACTAATGCCTCATTAAGCATTCAAGGTCACCTTTACCGCAACACACTTTTTTTTTTTTCACTTCTGATTTATCCTTTCCTTCTTTTTTTCTTTTTTTTCTCCGATGACAATGCCTGCTCTTAAACCACAACTACCTGCGAGCCTCTTTTTGCCATGGCGGAGTTCTGCTGCATGCGAAGTCCACAACAAACCGCACCGGTGCTCTTCTTTTTTTTTTTTTTTTTTTTTGGCTAGTGGCGCCAGCCAAAAAGGTCCGGGAGGCCGAGGGAGACCAAGACACCAAAGAATGCGGACATAAAGTCATTTGTCGCACAAGTTTGCCTGGGAGAAGTGGTAGTCGTTTACACATGGGTTCCTTGAGCTTCCTTCTTCTTGTTTTAAGGTCGGTTTGACACGCTTTTGTTTGGGAAGAAGAGAGAAGCCTGCAGGATCTCAGTAAGATCAGTATGGAGAAGAAGAGGCCAGAGGAGCAGAAAGAGCATGATCTGTAGTTGCCGGTAAGAGTAGATGTGTATTAGAGTAGGAGCATTCATTTTCTTTATTCTTTTCTTGGAAGAGACAGAAGGCGTATAAATTACCCATATCTGACGTTTGGAGGTAGTACAAAAAAAGAGCAATACGCCCAAGCGGCTTAGCTCAGTTGGTTGAGCACATAAGTGGCACTCAGGAAGCCGTGGGTTCGATATCCAACGTCGTCCTTTCGACCCCTGCGGCCTCCTGGGGGATGCTTCAGTTTCACCAGCGGAGATTGTTGGCTTGGGCCTCCTGGCTGGTTGTCTTTTCGTCTCACGCCAGGTGTTAGGAGCTTGGGTAGTGCTCCCCACACAGAGCAGAGGTAGGTAGATGAAGACCCATAACCTTAGGATACTTAGTTCTGGCTGGTAAATTTAAGGAAGTCTTAGACCCTCGCCCTAGACCCTAAGCTCCGGTCTCAAGGTGTAGAAACGGGGTTGTGGTCAAACTAGTGCAAAGACAAGGTAAGTCTCCATACTAGACACGTGAGTGGGTAATGTAGGGTAGGTAGTTAGTGTGAGGTAGACACAATATTGAGAGAAGAAAATAGGGTAGGAAAAATACAGCTTGGCCCCTGTATATGAGGAGAAGACAGCTGTATTTTTAATTTTCGTAATATTAAAAAAAAAGAAGAAAAAAGAATAATACAGTATTAATAATTTAATACTTATATTATCCTGGTAAGAAAAAAAGGAAAGAAAAAAAAGGACATTCGGGATTCGGTCACCTGGTTCAATCCAGCTGGAAAGCTCATACACATTCGTACTGGTCTCGTCCGCATCATCAATAGAATCAAACACTTTTACAGATACACCTCTGTTGATCGCTGAAAAGTTACTCCGTGATAGATCTCGTTCAAAAATTGTCACTTTTCTTGTCAGAGGCCTGTCCAGCGGCGGAGAAGCAGGGTCTTTAAGGCCGCTTGCTGCCAGAAGGAGCTGACTTATAATACGAGCAGCTGCTGTCCGCACCGAGTCGGGAATATCATGAGTTCCAGTTTCATCGCCATTTGCCTTAGTATGAGAGTCCTCCATCTGTATGCTTCCATTAGCGACTATGACCTCATCTGCTGCAGACTTTTCCTCATTCTCTTTGTCCGCTCCGTTACCCAGGTCGGACATCTCTGCATGGTCTTCTCCTTTGTCCTCGGGAGGCGATGGTGGAGTGACCGTTGACTTCTGCAGCTCAGAAAGTGGAGAGATCAATGGCGACTGGGCAGGGAAGGCCTTTGTTGCGCTTTCCGGGTCCTGTCCCAGGAGAGGAGGAAGTTTGATCTTGAGAAAGAGAGCAAGCACTGGGAGAAACACACTGCCGACCAAGAAATAATTTGCTGCACTCACTGTTGACGGAATCTCCATGCTGTATGCAAGATCACCAGGCAGGCAACGAGGCAGGCAACAAGGCAGGTGGATAAGCAGAGTGGGACTCCGTTAGTGAAGAAAAAGCACGGCTATAGCAACCAATGATCGGATGACAGGACGGTTTTTCTTATCTAGTTCAGTGTTGCATACCCCGACGGTCAGCACCCCTTGACTGGTCGGCACATACCGGTCGGGGGTCGTCGGCACCCCGCAAAAGAAAAAATGAAAAAAATCTGGGAGTCCATAACCCCCAATAATCCCAACAACACCAACATACCCACCCCCAACACCCTCATACCCCCCCCCCCCCCCCCCCCCCCCCCCCCCCC